TGTGGTACTTTCATATTCTTTGCCAACATCAAAATTCAAATTCTTCTCTAGTCTTATTTATTCATTATCCAGTTTTCACAGGCATATGAGGCAGTTAAAAATACCATGATTTGGGACAGGTATACCGTAGTCCTTAAAGTGACATCTTTGCTCTTTAACACTTTAAAGAGTTCTCTTGCAGCAGATTTCATTTGATTTCTTGACTGCTGTTTCCATGAGCATTGAACTGTGCATCCAGGTTTAAGGAAACCCTTGACAACTTCAGTCTTTTCTCCCTTTATCATAATGTTTTTTATTGGTCCATTTGTGAAGATTTTGTTTCCTTCCCATTGAGTTGTAATCCATACAGGACACTGTATTTTTTAGATCTTTATCAGTAAGTGTTTCAAGTCTTCTATTTTCTCAGCAAGCATGGTTGTGTCATATGCAAATTGCAGGCTGTTAATGAACCTATCAAAAGGCAGCTCCAGAAGATAAAGTCAGATATTATAATGAAATATACAAAGGCCTGAAATTAGAAAAACTAAAGGGAAGAACACATTTAGCATATTTTAAGCTGAGGAAACTGAAGCAAAATTCAAGCCTCAACTTGTAATATTGAAGGATTCTAATGGAGTCCTAGTGTAGCACTGTGGGCTAATGCACTAGACTGCAAAGTCAGTTTGAACCACAAGGTCAGTGGTTCAATGACTCCTTGGAAACCCTATACAGGGTCACTTTGGATTGGAACCGACTTGACGGCACTTAGCAACAACAACAAATGGAGTCCTGCAGGTTAATGCACTGGACTGCAAGGTCAGCTTGAACCACAAGGTCAGCAATTCATCCTCACCAGCTGCTCCTCAGAAACCCTATACAGGATTGCTATGAATCCAAACCAATTTGACAGCACTTAACAACAACCTGGACAAAATATTGAATGATGCAGAAAGCATCAAAAAAGATGGAAGGAATATCTAGAGTCAATGTACCAAAAAGACCTGGTCAATGATCAGTCATGTCAAGAGGTAACGTATGATCAAGAGCCAACAATACTGAAGGAAGAAGTCCAAGGTGCAGTGAAGACATTTGGCAAAGAACAAGGCTCTGGGAGATCTGACTTGGCACTGAAGGTCCTCACTCATCTATGCCAAGAAATTTGGAAGACAACTACCTGGCCAACTGAGTGGAAGAGAGCCATACCTGTGCACATTCCGAAGAGAGCTGACCTAACGGAAGGCAGAAATCATCAGACAATATCATTACTATCACATGCAAGTAAAATTTTGCTAAAGATAATAAATACAAAAACGTCTACAAGCATGCATTGACAGAGAACTTCCAGAGGTTCAAGCTTGATTCAGAAGAGGTCATAGGGTGAGGGATATCACTGCTGATGTCTGATGAATTTTGACTGAAAGCAGAGGAGACCACAAGCTATGGACAACATTACAGAGAATGAGTATTATGGAACACTTAAATGTGCTCATGAAGAACCTGTACATAGACCAAGAGGCAATTGGTGGAACAGAACAAGAGAACACTGAATGGTTTAAAATGAGGAAAGGTGTGTACCAGGGTTGTATTCTTTCACTATACTTACTCAATCTGAATGCTGAACAAATAATCCAAGAAGCTGGATTATATGAAGAAAAATATGGCATCAGGATTGGAGGAAGGCTCATTAACAACCTGTGATATGCAGATGATAGGTGCTTGCTTGCTGAAAATAAAGAAAACTGAAAATACTTATTGATCAAGAAAAGTTAAAATGCTTATGGATAAAGATCAGAATGTGTTGCACCTCAGTGTAAAGAAAACAAAAATCTTCACCACTGGACCAGTAAATAATATCATGATAAATGGAGCAAAGATTTAAGTTGTCAAAGACTTCATTTTGCTCAGATCAATCATCAACACTCTTGGAAGCAGCAGTCAAGAAATCAAACGACGTATTGCATTAGGCGCAAGACCTTTTTTAAAGTGTTGAAGAGCAAAAGTGTCAATTTGGGGACTGAGGTGTGTCTGACCCAAGCCATGGTATTTTCAAAAACCTCATAAGCATGTGGAAGTTGGACAGTGAATAAGGAAGACTGTAGAAGAAATGGTGCATTTGAGTTATGGTATTGAAGGAGAATATTAAAAATACCACAGACTGCCAAAAGAACAAACTAAACTGTGTTGGAAGAAGTACAGCCAGAATGCTCCTTGGAAGCCAGGATGGCCAGACTTCGTCTCTCATATTTTGGCCCTATTATCAGAAGGGGCCAGTCCCTGCAGGATAATATTATGTTTGGTAAAGTGGAGGGTCAGAGATAAAGAGAAAGACCCTAACTAGGTGGACTGGCACAGTGGCAGCTGCAGTGGGCTCCAGTGCAGCATTGATTAAGAGGTTGGCGCAGCACTGGGCCGTGTGTCTTTCTGTTGTGCATAGTGTCACTGTTTGTTGGTAGTGATTCCATGGTACCTAAAAGTGACATGAGCCTTTGTCCAGTCCTGATGCCACATTCTTCCTATAATCCATTTTCTCGGATTATTTGCTCAGCATAGAGATTAAGTAAGTATGGTGAAAGCATACAGCCCTGACACAAGCCTTTCCTGATTCCACATCACTCAGCAACCCCTTATTCTATCTAATGACTGCCTTTTAGTCTGTGTGCAATTTCCTCATGGGCACTATTAACTATTCTGGAATACACATTCTTTGTTATGTTTGTCAGGGTCCACACAGCTGAGATTCTTCACCGTCAGTAAAGCAGAAGTAAAATATTTTCGATATTTTCTGCTTTCAACTGAGAGCCATCTGATGTCACCATTGATATCCCACATTCTAAGTTTTCTTCTGAACCTAGCTTCAATGTCTGGCTGCTCCCTGTCAATAAATTGATGCAAGCATTTTTGAATTATCTTCAGCAAAATTTTACTTGTATGTGCTATTAATGATATTGCTCAGTACTTTCCACATTTTGATGGGTCACCTTTTTTTGTAATGACTACAGATGTGTATCTCTTACAGCTGCTAGACCAAGTCTTCCAAATTTCTTGGCATAGTACTATGAGAACTACTGGTACCACATCAGTTTGTTGTAACCTCTGTAGGTATATTCTGTCAACTGTCAGAACTGATACTTCAATACTGTTGGTTCAGATCATGTGCTGCCTTTTAATGGTTGAACATTGATCAGTTGTTTTTGGTACAGTGACTCTGTGTATTCCTTTCATCCTCTTTTGATGCTTTCTGTGTCATTCAGTAATTTGTCCATTGAATCCCTCAATGTTTATACTGGGGGCATGAAATTTTCCTGTTTGTTTACTTTGGGAAATGCTGAGTGTGTTCTTTCCTTTTGGTTTTCTGACTCCATTTCTTTGCATATTTTATTATAAAAGTTTGTCTTCTCATAATGCCCTTTGAAATTTCTGTTCAGCTCCTTTACTTCTTCATTTCTTCTGTTGGTTTTAGCTACTAGAAGATCAAGTTTCAGAGTCTTTTATGATATTCATTTTGAACTTTTCTTTCTTACCTGTCTTTTTAATGACCTTTTGCTTTCTTCATGTATGTCATCATGTGTTCTTGATGTCATCCCACAACTCTTTTGGTCCTCAGCCATTAGTGTTCAATGTAGCAAATCTGTACTTTTAGTCTCTAAATTCAGGGGAAATATTCAAGGTCATATTTTGTCTCTTATGGATTTGTTTTAATTTCTAAAGTTTCAGCCTGAATGTGCATATAAGCAATTGATGGTCTGTATTACAGTCTTTTTTTGTCTTTGTTTTGGCTAATGTTATTTAGCTTCTCTATTGTTTCCTTCAATAGAGATAGTCAATTCGATTCTTGTATATTCCAATTGGGGAAGTCCATGTGTAATTAATAAGACAATGGTTTTACAAAATCCTATCGTGTGATCTCCAGCAGCATTTCTATCACCAAGACCATATTTTCCAAGTACTGATCCCTCCTCTTTGTTTTCAACATTGGCATTCTAATCACCAGTGATTATCAATGTATCTTGATTGCATTTGTGATCAATTGCAGACTGAAGAGGTTAGTCGAATTCTTCAGTTTCTTCATCACTGACTTTGGTGGTTGGTGAGTAAATTTGAATAATAGTTGTTTTAACTGGTCTTTCTTTTAGGTGTATCAATTTTATCCTATCACAAACAACATTCTATTTCAAGAAAGGTCTTGAAATGTTCTTTTTGTGATGGACATGACTCCATTCTTCTTCAATTTGCCATTCCTGGCATAATAAATCTTATGACTGTCCAATTCAAAATGGGAAATACCTGTGCTTTTCAGATCACTAATATCTAGGATATTGATCTTTATGAGTTCCATTTTATTTTTGATGACTTCCAATTTTCTTAGATTTATGCTTTATAGATTTCATGCTCTGATTATCACTGCATGTTTTCTGCTGTTTCTTCTTATTTTGAGTCAGACCACATCAGCAAATAAAGGTCTGAAAAGCTTTTCTCCATCCACATCATTAAGATCAGCTTTACTTTGGAGACATTAGCTCTTCCTCAATAATATTTTAGTGACTTCCAACCTGAGGAAATCAGCTTCTGGCACTAAAATATCTGACAATTCTGTGTTGTTACTTATAAGGTTTTCTGTGGCTAGTCCCTCAGAAGTGACCTGCCTATTCTTTCTTCCTAGCTTGTTCTTAGTCTAGAAGTGTTCCTAAAACCTGTTCACCATGGTAATTCAAGGTAAGAGATAAGAATTCAAGGTCATGTCTATTTATAGCAAGAACTTAGCTTTTCTCCCTCCATGGCCTGAAACAGTGTATGACATATATAGGAACTCTGCCTGAACTGAAAAGAATGGATGATTGGACTACATCTAGCACCTAATAACTCCATATGATTCTGTTGTTGTTAAATGCCATCATGCTGGTTCTAACTCATAGGGAGCATGTATAAGATTTCTGAGGAGGGAAGAAGAGGCAAGAATGAGCCCGAATCAACTAAAGCCTCATCTCTGTGTCCAGCACCTGCGCCCCGCCACTGAAGCCACCATGCCCAAGAGAAAGGCTGAAGGGGATTCTAAGGGCAATAAAGCCAAGGTGAAGGGTGAACCTCAGAGGAGATCCGCAAGGTTATCTGCTAAACCTGCTCCTCCAAAGCCAGAATCTAAGCCTAAAAAGGCCCCTGCAAAGAAGGGAGAGATGGTACCCAAAGGGAAAAGGGGGAAAGCTGACGCTGGCAAGGATGGAAATAACCCTGCTGTAAATGGAGATGTCAAAACAGACCAGGCACAGAAAGCTGAAGGTGCTGGGGATGCCAAGAGAAGTGTGTGCATTTATTATGACTGTGGACTTCTGGTGACTGTACAGTTTGAAATACTAGTTTTTATCAAGTTTTATAAAAATGCGGAATTTTGTTTTACTTTTTTTTTAAAGCTATGTTGTTAGCACACAAAACACTTCATTGTTTTGGTGGAAAGGGGCAAATGTCACTAATACAGTGTCTCCAAAGCTGGATTGATGTGGAAGCAAACACCTTTCCCATCTAGTTTTCAGAGAC